CTGGTCATTGGTGACTGGAACGTCCCTTTCTGTGACATGGAGGCCACTACTTTTGCGGCGAAGGTCAAAGGGGAGTTCACCACCAACGGCCAGAGCACTGTCACATCGGGGAACATCTTGGACTACTGCCTGGTCAGCCGCTCAGTAAGCGGAATTACAGGCATTGAAACTGATTGGGAGGTACCCTTTGGCACTCATGCTGCCATTCACTGCACCTGTGATGTGGGAGCTGGCAAGCTGTTGGTACCCCAATTAAAAGGATACCCGAACGTGCTGCTCAAAGAGCACGGGAGCTTGGAGGCCGCTCCTGAGGAGCCTCCTGTTGTCCCGGGCAACATTGCAGGAGTTGAGCTTGGTGACGACCCGCTCACCAAGGAATTTGCCCTGTTCTCGGCGCGGGCAGAAAGCGTCTGCTTCAACGCTCCAAAAGGATGGGGGGTCACCAATCCTGTACAGTGCAAGCCACCCATGCAAAAATGCACCAGCAGACATTGGCATGGCACCCAACCAGCCAAATGGAACAAGCATCTAACTGAGCTCAAGCTCAACTCTCTGGACCCGCAACTCCATGCGGATGGGCTTCTCCTGTGGGAAGGCCAAGACGCTGAGGCCTGGACCGCTGCTTTCCAATGCATGGACCAGGCTGCTGCGTTACAACTAGCCGAAGGCCAACTTGAAGCAGCGGCGAAGCAAGCCCGTGAAGCTTGCGCCGACAGCTACAAAAACTGGCTGGAGCTGGCATCACAAGGCAGCCTTCGACCGCTGTTCCGCTCCTTGAAGACTCAAGAGACAGTCACCATGAGGCCTTTCCGGGACAAAGAGTTTGCCAGCAGAATGGTCTGCAGAATGATGCAGTGGGCACCCTTATGGCAAGCCAAAAGCACGCCGCTGGAAATAAAAGCAGAACTTAAAGAAAGGGCTGTGGCCCAGGCTATGGCCTTGCCTCCCATCACCGGTCAACAGCTTTTCAAGCGTTTTCGGTCCATGCCTGTGAAGGCACCGGGACCAGACGGATGGGATGTGCCCAGCATCAGCAGAACTTTTGGGGACGCTCGCCGGGCTATGGGCCTTCGATCACCTAAAGCCTAGTGACAGACCCCATCAGATTCCGGTGGTTTTGCCGGCACGGATAATCGCGGAAACGATTCCTTGATTAAGAAGGGTAGCACCACTAAACTCCCGCTGATGTTGATCAACATGCAACTCTCGCACTTGCTCAGAGTGGCCTGCCTCAGGCTGAATCTGAACTGGAAGCCGATTCCTCAAAGCCCTCGCGGTTGAGCAATGCCAGCACATGGCGGACATCCTTAGGGCAGTGGAGCTGGGGTCAGCCGCTCCCAGGCAGTGGACTGTGTCGCTCATTACTCTGTTACCGAAAAGTGAAGAGATTGAGCGACCAATCGCCCTTATCCCCATTCCGCAGAAGATCGCCGTCAAGGCCAGGTGGCAGCTTGCGGAGGACTGGCTCCGGACCAAGCTTCCGGAGATGTGGTGGGGCGCTGCAGTCCCGGGGCGATCCACGCTGGACGTAAGTCTAAAGAGATTGGTGGCGTGCGAGTCGGCCGCCAAAAAAGGGGCGCGCAGAGTGACGGTCTTCATAGATCTCTCAACGTTCTATGAGAGCGTCAGCTTGAAGGAGCTGGAGGCTTCTGCGGAAGCCTTATTGTGAAGCATAAAGTTGAGTATGATCGCTTACCTTCTCCGTACGAGTTTCTGATTGAAAGCACTGGTCCCCCTTGAAGCCCAAGACCCTGCAGACGCTGCCAGGACGACTCCGACAGGCATTTGGCTTGGACATGGAAAAGGGCGCGCTTGCGCAGAGCAGGCCAGGCTGCCCAGGTCTTTCTTACGGTTTCTCATTGATCTAGCAGCGTCGGCTGCTGCAGTTGAAGAAGAACATAGTCAAGACTCTTCGAGTAACGGTCAAGGTTGTGCTGAAGATGAAGGTAGAGGGCAGAAAAGAGGTTTCTCGAACTCTACTTCGGGGCGATGGGATGGCTCGGCTTCGTGGGGTGACTGGGACCATCGGGAGGACCAATGGTGGTGCGATGGCTGGCGTGATTGGCAATCCGGATGGACCGGATCCTGGAAGGGTCGTGATGGCCAGCGCGACAACTACAGTAGAGCTGGATCAAGTTCCGGAGGCGGATGGTCGAGCTGACCTTCGGCGGGAACACGATCGGCCGGATCGACATCGTGAAAAACCATCAGTGTGGAATGGATGGAAGCACTTCACCAACAGCGACTGGAGTGACCAGAGCTCGCACGCCAGCGATGAGAGCCGGCGGACTGGTGGAGGAAGACCTTCTGACCTTACCGTTCCCAGCTTCTCGGGCGAGGACTCCGAGGATGTTGGAACTTCGGCCAGGTCATATCTTCGACAAGTTGAGGCTTGGAGGCGTATGACTTTGCTCCCTAGCCGCCAGCAAGGACTCGTCCTCTACCAGCACCTGACGGGCAAGGCGTGGGTGGCTGCGGAGGAGCTCAGCGTCGACAACCTCGCGAAGGAGGCCGGCGTCGAGTACCTGGTGACGTGGATCACGAACAGATACTTGGATTTGGAGGTCACTCGCATCGGCAAAGCCTTCTCAGAGTTCTTTGGCCGACTGAGGCGAAAACCAGGACAGACCATTCGGGACTACAATAGCGAGTATGACAGGCTTCATGCTCGCCTTGGAGAGGTCGGGTGTAACCTTCCCGAGGACTGCGCTGCTTGGTTATACGTTGATAGACTTCAGCTTGAGGAGGCCGCAGAGCTCAACTTGCTGGCCAGCGTCGGCAACATGTACTCGCTTCACCGACTGCAGCAGGCGGCCGTGATCCACGACCGCGGACATCGCAAACCCTGGGAATCAGGGAACTCGGGCAAGGGGCGGAAGCCCCATACCGCCCACTACACGGAGGCGGACGACTCCCTCGACTCCGGACGACGATGGCGACGGCGAGGATGGCGAGGCCGGGGTTCCCGAGGAAGTGGCCGTGGCTTATGCGACCTATCAGACGGCAAAGCAAAGATACAAGGAGCGCCAGAAGAACCGTGGCTTCAATGGCTACGCGAACGAGGGCAAGGGCGAGACCTCCCAGTCCGGGAAAGGCAATCAGAAAACCAGTGAGAAGATCAAGCTGATGAAGGCCAAATCGTTTTGCTCCGGATGCGGAAGGCGCGGACATTGGCATAAGGATGCGGAGTGCCCGCGCAACCAGCCAGGACACCAGAAGAACGGCGACAAGTCTTCCAACAAGGCGGCCGACGTGGGCTATTGCAACCTCCTCCCTGCAGAGGTCTTCTCCATTCGGCTTGAGGACGCAGGGCTCCTTGGCATTACGGACACAGCATGTGCCCGGACAGTGGCCGGCACTCAATGGCTGCAGGCTTACACCGACAAGTTGGCCACCTTGGGCGTCCGGCCAGAGCTCAAGAAGGAGTGCGAAGCCTACCGCTTTGGTACTGGGAAGATTTACTACTCGTCCTTCTACGTGGTTCTGGCATTCGAGCTCGGCAACAAGGTTGTGCAGGTAAGAACTTCGATCATCAACGGCGATGTCCCGCTCCTTCTCTCCAAGACTGGGGCTAAAAGGGTTCGACCTTCTTGTCACCACTTCTGGGCACCCTGCCATTCCAACACTGCCGTCCAAAATGGACGGTGATCCTGGCTCTTTTCAGGCCGAGGACTTGAAGCTTGTGCCCAAGAGTCAATACATGGCGTTTGCAGTTGCGCATAACCCCGGGCATGCTAAAAGCAGGGACTTGTATAACTTCTTCTACGACAAGAAGCTAGAGCCTGGAGTCAAGGAAATGCTTGTTCGAGAAAGGTTCCCGCAAGATGAGTTTATAGCATGGTGGAGCAGCACTTCAACCACTTCAGACTTCTGGCTAGAATGTGATCATGCTTGGGTAAGGATCCATGTTACTCCCCGCAAAGTTCTCTTCAATCCTTCGACATGGAAGACACATGCTACAGTCCAGAAGGAGATGCTTGTTCAGACTGCCGGTGAGATCAGGGTGACAGATGGCATTTGTTGCACTTCCAATAGCTCAATGAGCCCGCCTTCGCATTCCACTGGGTCGGGAGAACTTGGATAGCCAAGCGTCAAGCCCCTAGCTTCCCTCCTAGCAGTCGCTGCGAGCATGGAGCAGGCGCCATGCAAGCCTCGTCCCATCAACCATATGAGCAAGACCCAGCTGCTCGAGGAGGCGAACCGCGCCGGGGTGATAGTCCACCACGCTTGGGGAGTAAAGGCCGCGGACCCCACGGAACAGATGAAGAGGGTTTCGCACATGAGCTTGCCAGAGCTGCGAGCAAAGGCGAGCGAGTTGAAGATCGACTACGCCAACACGATCACAAAAGGCAATCTCCTCCGCCTGATCAGGGACTCGCTCAATACCCCAGATCAAGAACTCATGAAGATAGGAAAAGACAAGGGGTATCAATTCTGCGAAATCCCGAAGGAGCTATGGCGAGTGGGTAGTCCGAGAACTAGCCCAAGCGGACAGCCCAGATCCGGAACTTGTGCGGTACGGGAGGTGCAGAGTGAGGTAATCAATGATCCGATTGTGCTGCTCGAGCTTGGTGGCTTCGAGGCCACTTTGGAGGCCACCGAGATTGGGAAGGCCGTGCTTGAGCCGCTCTCCTGGGAGGACTACCTCGACCCCGGCGTCAAGGACAAGACTCTCCACCGTAGAAAGGCCGTGACTCCGAGACATCTCCACATACACTTTGGAGGCGCACCGGGAGAGGCCTACGACGACCTCAAGACCCTTGTCAGAGAACAACTAGAAGGCGGAGGGGCGGTGGTGTTGCAAGGCGGACAGCCCGAGCTTGTTGTCAACAACCTCCAGCACTACCAGCGCTACAGCAACAACCACGAGGGGGAGGACTGGATTGTGTTAGCCCGACCCGGGAGCGACAAGTGTCTCGAGATCCCGGGCAACCTCAACCCCCGCCAGGTACTCGTGGTCAACGACGACAAGGACAGGCACGAAGAGAGGCCTCTGAGGATCGATGGGTCTGGCATTGTCTTTGAGGAGGGCGTCCCTGGACACGTGCGGTCCGCACTCAAGAGACTGCGCCAGAATCTTGGACACCCAAGGACGCCGGATCTAGTACGTCATCTCCGACTTTCTGGATGCGAACCCGCTGTGCTGAAGGCGGCCAAAGGGATGAAATGCCAGGTCTGTGACTCCACCAAGGATCCGCAGGTGGCCAGACCTGCCTCTATGCCGAGAATGCTGACTTTTGGCGAGATCGTGGCCGCGGACATCCTGTATGCCCACGACTGCAATGACAACCGACACGTCTTCCTGTCTCTGGTGGATGTTGGCACGACTTACCACATCGTGATAAAGCTCCGGAACACCAGTGGCAAGGAAGTTAAGCAGGCTTTCAACACCTACTGGGTGACGCCCTTCGGCGCCCCCAACGCCGTCTCTCTTGATCTCGAGACAGGCTTGCAGGACGCTTTTCAAGGTTATGCAGTTGGCATAACGTGAAGATTCGCAACTCAGCGACCCAAGCTCACTTCCAATCGGGGGTGGGGGAACGACAGGGCACGTGGTGGAAGAATATATGGGCCCGCGTGTGCAAGGAGCTTTCGATCGAGGCCGACGAGGTGCAGTTGGCAGCGACCATAGTGAGTGGGGCGAAAAACAGCCTCAGGAGGCGCTGTGGCCACTCCCCGACTGCATGGATATTTGGCCGCGAAGCTCGTGGCGTTGAGGATGTTCTTGATCCTGACAGCGGAGGACGCGTGACCTTCGACGTCTCAGACGACGCCCGCTTCCAGAGGCAGGCGGCAATACGGGCAAGCGCCCGTATAGCTTTTCATAAATCAGAGAATGATGGGAAGCTCCGCAAAGCACTCAACGAGCACGCGCTGTCACCCGGCCCTTCGAGATCGGCGAGCAGGTGCACTATTGGAATCTTCCGAAAAACAGGAGGCAGGGACGCTGGGAGGGTCCAGCCGTGATCGTGGGCAAAGAAGGGAGCAACTACTGGGTGTCCCGAGGGGGGCGCTGCAGGCTGACTGCGCCAGAGCACCTCCAGCCGTCGGGGCCCGACGAAACGGGCGAATTTTTGGCGATGAATGGTGTCAAGCAGGAGCTGGACCAGCTGCTCCAGGCAGACTTCGACAACGATGAGGCATATGGCAGCGAGGATGAGGGCAACCCCGGAGACCTCGACGACATCGACTCGCCGTACTCTCCGTCCAACAACCCCGTCGACGACGAGGAGATGGCCGAGGGGGACAATGGCAACAGTTGAGATGGGACGAGATTCCGCCCCAGTTCCAGCAGAAGTTCAGAGAGGCGGAAGCAAAGCAATGGAGCGAGCATCTGCATTTCGATGCTTTGGAGCCTCTCGATGACGCCGCCACCGAGTACGTGAAGAACAACCTTCCCAAAGAAAGAGTTTTGCGCTCTAGGTGGGCGTACAAAGACAAAAATTGGTCGAGGAGGAGATTGGAGGGGCAAGCCGAGTGGCGCTGTAAGTCGCGCCTCGTAATAGCGGGGCACACCGACCCGGATTTGGCTTCGGGACGACTCGTCACAGACGCCCCGACGCTTTCGAGGCCTGGACTGCTTTGCTTGCTACAGCTGCTCGCGAATGGACTTGGAGGACCTGATGGGTGGCGAGTGTCGGCTGGAGATATCCAATGCGCCTTCTTGAC